CATCCAACAAGAAATGTCTGTTAGACATGCTGAGATGCGAGCAGCTATCGTCGGATCATCAGGATGGAATGAGAGATAGAGTTGAGTGTCATCAGCATAGCAGTGGTATGAAAAGCCATGTTTCTGAAACTATATTTACAACTATATTTAAAATGCATTTCAACAATCTATTAAAGTGTATTTTAATAAAAAATACTATAATGTACTTTTAATAAGTAGTTTGGCTAAAATTAAATGTGACTGAATTTAAATTAAAGTAATTTAGTTTAAAGGATTTTTAAAACACTTAATCTGTATTAAATTCAAATGACAGTGTACTTTGCAACACTATAAACATGTTTGTTTTTTTTGCCTAGTTTAGTACAATCTAATTCTTAAAAAAAAAAAAAAAAGACTTTACAGATATTAATTCTGAAGTTCAATGGAGTGATAAACATGCAATTTAAAGCATACTATTTAACATCTGCGTTAATCTTCATCTACAAACATTTGATAATCTTTGATTCTATTGTATGCATTTTATGTTAAATTGTCATAAATAGCCTACTTCACAATATGTTACATTTCAGACTCTTGAAATCTAGGAAATTTCAGGAAATTTTCTGTCAGGATATAATCATCTATCATGTACTGCTCTCAGTGTGAATTGTATGAAAACATGATTTTTAGAAAATGAAGGTCCACCCTCAACCCCACCCTATCCCATAACCATCACTGGAATGTAATTCGATTGTACAAAAACATACAAATGAGATCGTACAAATACATATTTGTATTTCCAAATTTCCAAACACATCCAAAAAATAAAATAGTTATGAACTGCCATGAGACTGTGTTGGATGAAGAAAAATAAATAAATGCATTTATTAATAAATTAATAATTGATTTTACTTTGATTTTGCATCAAATTTGTTTATGAAAAAAAAATCTATAGCACATCATAACAGAAGTTTATTTTAATAGATTTAATTCATAGTTTCAACCTTTTTTATCCACATAAAGCAATTAGGATCTATCATTTCATTTTATGTAATGAGCTTTCATTAACTCATATCTTATCAAATCTTGTTGATATAGAATTTAATACTTTTTACATCAGCAAATATTTAGATTTAGTTAAAAAGCCCATCATCCTCATGCTCAGTGGTATTCACACAAAATGTCAGCTTTTAATTAAACTTACAGTATGGCGGAAGTTAAAGAAAAGAGACCATCAGTCAAAGCTGAGGAAAGACACAGAGAGTTTTATCTCAGGAATCTGTCATCGCTCAGTGTAAAGTTTTAACATTAATGAGACTTTGCTAACTGACTTTTCATTTTCAACTTTCAACATTCTGAGTTCTGTATACTAGAAACTCAGCAGTTTCTAGACAATACAATACCAGTTCCAACTAAAAAAACTACAGGCCAAAAGTAACACTTTTTTTTCTTCGACTTTATTAATTATTTTGTCAACATATCAATAAGCCACTACATCGGTGCAACAAAATGAGAATAAAATCCAAGAGACAGACTAGGTCAACACAACAATGTTCCATAACAGGAGAATTAAACAGAATACACAAAGACAGCTGGTCAGGATCACATTAATCCTACAAATAATACTTCACAAATGACCGTTGAAACAAAGGGAGCATTTAACGGTTGACTAATGAGCTCTAAATGCAACACAGGTGTGTGGTTACTATGGTAACAAGCTTCTGATAAACAGGGAATTCCAGAGAGGATGCCCTCTGTTGACTGTTAGGGGAACAACAGACACTTCCCTGACATCTACATAAACAAACACGGCCATTTCAGAGGATACAGCTTTGTCTCTGGTGCTCTATGTAGCATTTGTTGGTTATTAACTAAATATATGTCATTTTCCAGACTCAGGAAGGTCCACTGAGATGAAATTAAGGTTCTCAGTATTGTAAACAGAGCAGAAACAGTCATTTAGCTCTTTTATCTGAGCGACTTACAACGGTCGCCGTGATTTTGCCAAGTAAGACATGTTCCTGGATCAACATTTTTGTTGTTCCTGGATCAACATTACTATCCAAAAATATAGACCTAACCCAATCCCTACCCCTAAACCTAACCCTACCCATAATTTATTCCTAAAATCAGAGGGAAATGATAGGTGAATAACAAGGGTGTAGAAGCATCTAACCCTGACTATAAGCCTAAAACGGACATTTCTTGAAAACGTATCCCTCAATTCTGATTGGTTGATTGGAATGTTGTTCCAGGATCAACAAGGATGTTGATCCAGGAACATGTTGTACTTGGTGAAATCACATTCACCAACTTACAACACACGCAAGGCCCTTTCAGTTCAATGCTTCAATGTAAAGCACAATGACAAGAAAGCATGCACTTAAGTCCTGCCGATTTGCTATACATTGCAGATTGAAAAACAAAATGACTTGTTAAACATGGGTTCACAAACGTTTATCAGGATGCTCTTGGAAATTTAAATAAGCTCATTAGGTCTTATTTAGACAACGCAAAGTGATCTAATGACATTGCAATAAAGTTCAGTTTTAGAAAATATACATATTCATATTTTTGTATAAATACTAAAATGTACAATATGGATGTATTGTCAGTATCTAAAATGTAAGAACTGTAGGTATGAACAACTTTAGAGATGTTTGAATTTCTATGAATCCTGGTAACACTTTACAATAAGGTCCCATTACATAATGTTAGGTAAGTCAATGCATTGGCATTGACAATGAGTATAATAATAATAAATGAGTAACAAATGTTTTAGAAGAATTTTTCATTGTCAATTCATGTTAAGTATGTTTACCTTTTTGTAAAGTGCCATCTGAATCCTTTCAAGTTTATACTGTATATTGAATTAATAGCTTGAATTGGTCATGTTAATACCTGCAATTAATTAAAAACTTGTTAGCTAAACTTTTAAATGACTGAAAATAATTTACTCATTATAAAATCATAATTAATACTTTCAGTTTGTTTGCTCTGGGACAGCTGCAACTTGAAAAATTGCAGATATATCTACAGTATATAACTGTACCCATACAAATGACCATTTATAATATAAATAATATATGCAAGAATTTTTGGGGAATTTTTATTTATTTATTTATTACCGTTATATAGCTGTGCATAACCAAGTACACTTTTACATTAGATCCTGTCAATAAGCCCATATTGCATGTTTTAGCAAAAAAAAAACAAAATACCCGGAAACCAGGGCACAATGTACTGTATTGATATGAAATACTTTTTTACATTTTTTTTTTATTTTTAATTTTGCACTGCACTGCATTGTGTTGTGTTTTAGAGTTAAAAGAAATGTCCGTAAAATTAATGGATAATGTCCTGGAAGAAAATTTACAGTATTTTTTTTATATATATATGTTCTAATTTGTAAATAAGATTATCAGAATAAGTTTTACAAAAAATAAATAAATAAATAAATAAAATTGTATTGTTTTACTTTAAAATTCCATATCTAATTCAATGTGTTACTTGCGGTTTCATTTTAATTGCTTGTAAAATTTACTATAAATTTTTGAGTAAAAATGGTCATTCCTACACCTTTTCTTCCAGTGTAGTTACGGATTTTCAACTACAAAAGTCCATTAATGACCCAAACCCATTTCAAACCTTATGCAAAACTGAAATTGTCATTGCAAAGATAGTATAAGTCATCCCTGGTTGCACATCGAAAGCTTGGCAATTCAAAGAACTAAAGGCGATTCATCAACGGTGGTAACACTGTAGTTAATCTTTCACGCTACAGATCGTAATGCAATGGAGAATGTTGACACAATCAGCCCCTCTGGAGTAACCTGGGGTTAAGCGTCTTGTTCAAGGGCTCAACAGAAGTTAGTCTTACACTTGCTTGTACTGCGGTTTAGCCACATCACAAAAACAACAACCATGTGTCCTGACCAGAAATCAAGCTCAGGCCATGACCCTGAGACCACTTAAGGACGATAAATAGCAACACAGTTAAACTAAAAAGATAAACTCCAAGTACATAAAGTAGTTTTGTTACTATTCTGAGGAATTTGAAATAAATCAAAGCAGTTGCCATAAGTGTTTAAAGATTGTAAGTTACAAGAACTGAGGCATTTTTTGTGCCAGAATAATGTGACGACCTTCAGAAGCCCAGAAAGCGCTGGTCACCTCATTACAGATCAGAAAGATCTCATTGAAAGCTGTTATTGAAATGAAAAGCACTTTTCGTTGAGTTGTTTTAGACTAGCGGTATCTGCACTCATACATACTGCACAGTTCGCAGGTCTGTGGATCCCTTCTCTGTTTTTGTGTGTGTCTGTGTGTGTGTTTTGCTGTCACCTGTGTTGCCGGGCAACTCGTGATCACTGAAGTTGTTTGTTGTTCATTCCCTGTCGGATCGTTGTTTGCTCACTCTCGTTCTTTGTTCAGTGTTCTCCTGTTGCTGCACTCGGCTCCAACTGTTGGACTATGTTGGACTAAACTGTCACTGTGAGGAGCTCTTGCTTTTCTCTGTGGAATTTGTGTTCCTTTGACTGTTGTCCGGGATCTCTGTCTACTGCCCATTGTAGTCCCTGCGCTGCTGAGGAGTTTTCTGCACCCACTACTTTCCTGTTTTCTCTATGCTATTGCTGTTTTGTCTTCAGAAAATAAACTTTTGTTCACTTGCATCTGAATCTCGAGTCTTTTCCTAAAATATCCTGACATAACGATCCGACCAGGATGGATTCAGCAAGTGGAATTGAATGGGGAGAATTCCTTACCAGTAACCAGGCTCGTTTGGATAAACAGGAGGAACAGATCATGGCAACAGGTCGTGCGGTGCAAGCCTTGGTGGCGCAGGTGTCCGAGGTAACTGCACAGCTCCGGCAACTCAAGACGGATACAGCCGGAGCACCCACTGTGCCAGTCCCACCGCCTGTTCCCCATTCATATGAGTGAGTGGATCATCATGGCGAGCCTCGTCTGCCCCCACCTGCCTCCTATTCCGGTGAGCCACAACTATGTCGAGCTTTTGTGACTAAATGCTCTTTGTTTTTCACACTTCAACCCACGTCGTTTCCTACGGAGCGATCTAAGGTGGCATTAATGATTACTCTCTTATCTGGACGCGCTGCTCTGTGGGGAACAGCGGTTTGGGAAAATCAACATCCTTGCTGCTCCTCGTTCCAGTCATTTACCGAAGAATTAAAGAGAGTGTTTGATCGAGTGGTCTCGGGTCGGGAGGCAGTCCGGGAGTTGGCGGATTTACAACAAGGCAACCGCTCGGTTATGGACTGTTCTATTGATTTCCGCACTCTGGCGGCGGAGAGCAAATGGAACGAGGAGGCACAGTGGGACCGTTTCCTGCATGGGTTGGCTGACCATATCCAAAAGGAGATCTTCGCTTTGGATTTGCCCACTTGTCTGGATGGTTTGATCGAACTGGCGATTCATGTGGATAATTGTCTGCAATGCCGTGATCAACGCACATGTCAGTTTTCATTTTCATTTGGCAGACGCTTCTCATGTTACGGTCAGTGCCACTCTCGATCCGGAACCCATGCAGGTGGGCAGAACCCGACTGACCAGGGAGGAGAAGGATCTCCGGAGAAACAATGGACTGTGTCTTTATTGTGGAGTGGCTGGTCATTTTGTTACCAATTGCCTGGTAAAAGCCCAAGCCCATCAATAGACCAGAGGTTATTAACAGGTGGTGTGTCTCTCGAAAAATCCTCTTCTGCTACTCTCCTTCCGGTCAGACTACAATGGGCCAATAAATTCCACAACTGCCAGGCCTTGTTGGACTCGGGAGTGGAGGGAAGTTTCATCGACGCTGCTTTTGCCTATCAGCTTGACATTCCCGTGGTTAAGCTTCCGCGTCCCATATTGTTCAAGCTCTCGGTGGTCAAGTTATGCCATCTGTCACCCAGAGTACTGGTGTCATCAAACTCATCACCTCTGGTAATCACACTGAGGAGATCTCTCTCCTGTTAATTGACTCTCCTCTAGTTCCCGTGGTCCTTGAACATCCTTGGCTGGCCCGTCATAATCCTCATATTAATTGGGAAGAGAACACTGTTTGCTCTTGGAGTAACTTTTGTCATGCGTCTTGTTTGTTGTCTGCTTGTTCTTCTGTTTCTTGTTCTGTGTTACAGGAGGAACCATTGGACCTGCTTAACGTGCCTGAGAAGTACCTAGACCTGAGAGAAGTGTTCAGTTAGTCTCGAGCAGCTACTCTGCCTCTGCATCGTCCTTATGACAGTGCTATAGATTTATTGCCAGGGACTTCTCCGCCTAAAGGCAGGTTATATTTGCTTTCGGTTCCTGAAAGAGAGGCCATGGAGAAATATATTTCTTATTCTCTTGCAGCCAAGATCATCCGCCCTTCCTCTTCACCTACTGGGGCGGGATTCTTCTTCGTGGGTAAGAAGGATGGTTCTCTGCGGCCTTGCATTGTCTATCAAGGGTTGAACAACATCACGGCAAAGAATACGTATCCTTTGCCGTTGATGTCTTCGGCCTTCGAGCGGCTGCAGGGAGCTTCCTTTTTTACGAAGTTGGATCTTGTCCATGGAGAAATATATTTCTGATTCTCTTGCAGCCAAGATCATCCGCCCTTCCTCTTCCCCTGCTGGGGCGGGATTCTTCTTCGTGGGTAAGAAGGATGGTTCTCTGCGGCCTTGCATTGTCTATCAAGGGTTGAACAACATCACGGCAAAGAATACGTATCCTTTGCCGTTGATGTCTTCGGCCTTCGAGCGGCTGCAGGGAGCTTCCTTTTTTACGAAGTTGGATCTTCCCAACGCTTATCATTTGGTCCGCATCAGGGAGGGGGATGAGTGGAAGACCGCTTTTAATACCCCCAGGTGGCATTTTACATATTTGGTTATGCCGTTCGGGCTGTTTAACACCCCCGCAGTCTTCCAGGCACTCATCAATGATGTGGTGAGAGACATGGTCGATCAGTTCATATATGTTTACCTGGATGACATATTGATTTTTTCTTCGTCTCCCCAGGAGCATATTCAGCACGTCAGGCGAGTGCTTCAGAGGCTGCTTGAGAATGGGCTTTTTGTCAAGGCGGAGAAATGCGTTTTTCATGCACCGTCGGTCCTGTTTTTGGGGTTTATTGTTTCATCCGAGGGGGTGCGCATGGATCCCAACAAGATTTAGGCTGTGGTTGATTGGCCAACTCCAGATTCCCGCAAGGCCCTGCAGAGGTTTCTGGGCTTTGACAATTTTTACAGACGTTTTTTACAGACATGGTGGACCGGTTCTCGAAGGCAGCCCATTTTATTCCCCTGCCTAAACTTCCTTCTGCCAGGGAGACAGCGGTTACTGTCATTGACCACGTCTTTCACATTCATGACCTCCCGATGGACGTAGTCTCTGACAGAGTATGCGCAGATCGGCTCTCCTCCAGGTGAAGGCGCACACCAAGGCCCAGGCCGATCGCCACCGGTCTAAGCCTCCCGAATACGTCATTGGTCAAAAAGTGTGGCTTTCTACTCAGAACATTCCTCTCCGCACCATTTGTAATAAGCTTGCTCCGAAAAATATTGGCCCATTCACTGTCACTAAAATCCTTAGCCCAGTGGCAGTTCGCCTCAAACTTCCTCCGGTATACAGGAGAATTCATCCGGTTTTTCATGTTTCCAAATTAAAACCTGTGTTTCGTTCACCCATTAACCCACCGGCCCCGGCTCCAACTGATGTGGATGCTACCCTGTGGAGTTACTGCCGGTCTATGTTGGACTAACCTGTCACTGTGAGGAACTCTTGCTTTTCTCTGTGGAATTTGTGTTCCTTTGACTGTTGTCCGGGATCTCTGTCTACTGCCCATTGTAGTCCCTGCGCTGCTGAGGAGTTTTCTGCACCCATTATTTTCCTGTTTTCTCTATGCTGTTGCCGTTTGATCTTCAGAAAATAAACTTTTGTTCACTTGCAACTGAATCTCGAGTCTTTTCCTGAAATATCCTGACACATACACACAGTGTGATAAAGAAAGAGAGAAGGAAAGATATCCAACAACCAGTTGTTTACATTTCCTGTTATATGAAATGTTGATTATTGACAGCATTTGAAAATAGGCTGCGGTGAAGATGTGGTGAGTTTTATAAAATATTCATACGTTCATACGACCTGACATTTTTTAAACATGTTTTTTCGGGGTAGAACTGCCATTTCAAATCTATTTTAGAAGAGCAACGTCTCGCCAACTCGCACAGAAATGATGCAAATACATCAGAGAATCATACGTACATCAGAGAATCAAAATATCTACTACCACTTTAAAAGTGTGCAATCAAATGTCCAACCGTAAAAATAAAAATGTTTGGATGTTAAAGTTTTACAAACCTCATTTGGCTTGCAGTTTGATAACGCCAGAGAACTGCAGTGCTATTCTTACATCTTTAAAATCACTTGGAACATCATCTTTTTATAACAAGCTTCTACATTGTTTTTTCCCGCTTCTCCTTAAAAATTCTAGCCTAAAGCTGTATTACAGCGCAACAGCGTTTTTTCCCCTATCGAAGTTTCACCTTGGACCATTTAGAGTTCTCATTGCTCTGAGGTCTTTAATTAATACATTAAAAGCATGCCACTTCAAATATCCTGCTTTAAAGAGGATTTGTTCTACTATTTAGTTCACTTCTAATATTAGTGCATGTTTCTTGCATCAAAACAGTTGTAACTTAGTTAAATCCATTGTTTCACAAGCTTTAATTGCAAGTGGAAAATACCAATGTAGCTGTCATTCATTAGGGAGAATCAAGTTGCTAAATACCGAACAGATGTTGATGTGTAAATGTATGTTACTCACCACAGTCATACTGTTTACCCCAAAAAATTCCTTGTGGATGAGGCCTGGTCATAAACATGACCTTGTATTGAGGTGAACAGTGTTGGGAATAACGCATAACAAGCAACGCAAATTACGTAATCAGATTACTTTTAAGTAACTAGTAAAGTAACTTAAAAATATCTGTAAATTTTTCAAATAAGTATCGCAAGTTACTTTGTTTTCCCATTTATTCACTGACACTTAAGGTCCTTGCACACTGAGTCCGAAATTTTCGTATGCATTTTTTCGTTTTTTTTTTTTTTTTTCGTATTTGTCATCCTTTCCTATCAAAATGCTTGCTACAGATGTGAAAACGCAGAAAATCGAACCTGATCCAAATTTTTTTTATGACGGACGACAGTTTCAGAGGCAGTGTGTAAACGTAATTGACACAACGTGAGGTCGTATTTATTTTTTACTGTGTGAAAATTTCGGACTCAGTGTGCAATGACCTTTACTCCAGTCTCAGTGTTAAGAGAAATCAGGGGAGGAGTAAGTGCATCGGCAGAGGCACTTCCTTCAGCCTAATGCTTATTAATTTCACTTTTGGTTTAAAAGGGCCTTTACAGTTGCCAAAAAATATAACTTATTTTTTATTTTTTTGTTATTAAAAATAAGTAAACAAACCCAGCTCAGGTGACAAAAAGTAGCGCAAAAGTAATGCATTACGTTCCATAAAAAGCAACTAAGTAACACAATTAGTTACTTTTTATGGTGTAACGCAATATTGTAATGCATT